ACTGACAGACAGACTGACAGACAGACAGACAGACAGAAGAGCTGATTGTGATAAGTTGCAGAAAGCTTCTCGATATTTAAATTAGTGGCTTGTTTTAGTCAACTGGTTTTAATTTAATATTATTATTTAACATATTGTGAAGTGCATTTCAAAACAGATGTTGAATTTGCACTGCTTATTATCACTTACTGCAAAGTTTTGTGCCTACTACAGGTATTTTACCTTTCAAGCTGTTTTTCAGTTTGCGAACAGCTAAATACTCAATGACCCTCTTCTTTAACTTTTCCAAACCATAATGATCATGATCCAGATCAATCCTTAAAAACAAGTCAGAGCATTTGGGCTATTAAGCAGAAGGAAAAAACTACCAGTTTAAATCACATAAAACATAGGAAAAAATGTAACACAAAGAGTGACCTGAATAACTCAGTATGTTATGAAGCCTTCTCTTCTCTTGCTATATATCTAGCCAACAGCCCTTTCCCACAAAATTTTGAATTAGTAATATTGGGAAGATAAAACTCCCTTAACTAGCATTTCTTTCAAATGAACAATCACTTGAACCATTATTCAACAGATCTCATACTGAAAATTAGGGATATGCCCAGGACATTTATGATTTTTCACTAGATGACACTGATTTACACTTTTCTACCTTACAATTTTTTTTTCTATTTTTACTTTCTTTTGAATTTTAAAGTTAATTTGTTACCTTGCTTGAGAAATATCTAACTTGTCCTTGGTTTCTTGGCTCCATGGAAGATCAACCATCCACTCCAAATAATTCCTTAATACAAAACAGACAATATGTAATTTTGGACTCACTGCAAAAATTGCTGGGCCTTGATTTCACAGAAGAGTTACCGTTAGTGAAATTAATTTCATGCAATTAAAGAACAAGATTACCTAGTGGTAGCATGTTCTGGAAACTGTGGCGGCATCTTCTTCAAGCGCTGCATGAAAAGAAATGATCAGTCTTGAATTCAATTGACTGTTCAAAAGGGAAAGTAAATTGAAGACTGTTCTAAGATTTACATTAAGCTGACTATTAAGTTATTACATTGTCTTCACTAACATCAGTGAACTAGTTTGCATGCACGTCACGGTAACTGTACTTTTGTCATGTTCAACAAATTTCTTTCCATTTAAAAAATTTTAAGATCCCAAAGTACATGTTGTTGTAGTTCAGTAACAACAACCAAAGCAACATTAATATCAACCAATTTATGAAACTCCAAATCAAAAACAACATATCTTCACGATGACACTTTTGTCATGCTGGTGCTATCCCCGTAGCATGAAGGCATGCATGGGTTGAATCACATTTATTGTGAACTTCTGTCTATCATCAAACTGTTGGTATACGAGTTCTCTCTACATGCAAATACATAATATACAGTTACCTTACCTTCAACTCCTTCATAGCTACTTTGAAAGCATGCTCTGGTAGATCAGCAGATCTGGAGATTAAGTAGTTATACTTAGCTCTTATTAACCAAGCAGGACTTCTGTATGGGAGAATCTTGACCGAGGTTGTGAGTACAGACCAAACACAGTGAGGCCTGTACACACGACCAAAGTCAAGATTCTCCCATACAGACCAACTTAGCTCGGTTAATAAGATGTTTATTATATGGTAAAGAAGAAAACTTTAATTCGTTTCATGTAACTGGTTTCTGACAGTTTGCTTGAAAACGGAGATGAGCTTAACTTAAACCTGGCAATATTTGCTCATCCTCTTTACTTTTTTTTTTTTTTCTGTCATCACGCTTTTTGGCACTTCCATAAATGATTGAGCAGAAAATAAAAGAAAATGGTGAACATTTTTGTATTTTAGTTTGGTACCGGTCTAGATGCCGGTCTAGATAAGAAAATCTAGACTGCGGTCAATATTGATTTCAGCCAATCAAATTCGTGAATTCGGTAGTTCCCAGTCCTTGTGAGACACAGCCATATAATAAAGTGCAATAAAAATCATAATATTACAATACCCCATTCCCTGTATGAGACGCATGCAGGGAATCATGGTAGTTGCATGCGATGTTGTGCGACAAGTCCCAAAGATGTCAACTGTGTGATGCATAAAACTACATGATGATTCCCTGTGCACAAGTATCATAGGGGGAATGGCCCTTTAAAGAATCAACTCCAAACATAGCCATATCCATCATCATAAAATCAGAGGGGCATGAATTCTTGCCAAATTAAATTCCACAAAAAAACTGATCGGCTTATTGTATCATGGTGAAAAAATGCATGAGTGCAAAATTCATTTTTTCTTGATGTCGAAAGATGCAGCATGGACAGCCAGAACTCATCCTAGAGTGGAAACTCATCAGAAACCTTAATCAGTAACTCTCAATTAAAATTAGTTTTAAATGATATATTACTCAATTTGGAAAATTAGTATTACTATAAAATAATTATAGCAATTTAACCATAAATATTCATAGAAATCGACAATCACTGTATAATTTGTCATACCTTATTTTCCTCTCTAGTTCCTCAACATCATCTTCATCGTCATTTTCATCGTCATCATCATCAAAACGTTTTGATACCCTCTTAGGATCCTTTGGCACAAGTATGTTACCACCACGCTTAAACAGAAAAGTTGATGGTGAAAAAAGCGAAACAATTTACACGAATTCAATCTCAATTTTTTACTAGAAATGTACTTTAAACACGCTGCAATTTGGCACTACTGTTGTCCTGCAGACATTAAGCTGCTCAGCTCCAATCCACGTAAAATTTTGTTAGACAGACTACATCTCTCCTGTGTTTAAACTGGAAAGCTATATTAATCAATATATTCAAAATCTGAACTATCATTTACACGTACAGCTGAGAAAAAACAAACATACCTTTGAATTATTACTCTTCCACACCCTGCGGTTAATTACTTCAGGACCACTTCTCAATGGGTTGTTACCTTTCATTCCCTAAAGAACAGTAAGTGTTCATAAATGAGCTTATGTCTAAGTTACATGGATTGTATATGATATTTTATATCGTAAATAATCAGGAATTTTTCATGTGGACTCGTCAGCTAATGTGAAAAGCCTGGTCCTGTCAACTACAGCATGACCACATAAAATTATACTGTTATTAAGCATTTAAGTTTGGAAAACGTACACTAACACTGTCTCGTCCATTAAACAGATGAAACTGTTTATCCTCCATTTCATCATAGCTTGAACAATTCAAGAAGTCATGTACAGCCAGTTAACTAAGTACAGTAAGTACAAAAAAAGGAATTACCTAACTGCAACTGTAATACTGAGAGGGTGTACATGTACGGAACAACTTGTAAATACACAGCTGGCCAGAATAGTGATAATATATGCAACCTTGTCTCATACCTCTTTTTGCCTCTTCAGTATGTTTCAGCATTCGTACATTTGCATTTCTATTGCCGTTGCATATAGTTGATAAATCAGACTTTCCTCAAAAGCGGTCAGCAAAATTGCAACAACGTCTTCCAACCAAAGAAGATGAACAGCAGCCTCTATCTGTTCATCCCTGAGTGAAGAAACACTGAAATTTCTCCTAACAGGATTCTATTTTAAAGCCAATCATTCTATTACGAATCACGGCACATGTCAGTGATGACAACTGCTGCAAGCCACAAAACACACCTGGACGCAATCATTATCAACCGTCGTCAGGGTGATGACACTTTTGTCGCCTCTCAACCTACGGGAATTTTCCGTTTCTGGAGAAACGGGGAAGTCACTTTTTTCCAACGATGTCTACAGCCCCTCTATTTTTCTCAGTCCCCACCCCCTATCCGGTCAAGTCTTCCCTTTTGCACGGGCGTCCAGTTCTCTTGCGATTCTATCCGCAAGTACGATCGAATAAAAATACAAGAAAATAGAGGGCTGTGAACAGTCTATGTCCTAAAAGATACCATGAACAATACCTCCAACAGAGTCTGATCATAAATTTTGCAGATTTTAGTACCAGTAAGTGATTAAGGTCCACAACTTTTATCCTTAAAAGGAACTATGATCAAATTTAATACTGGATGTACATGTACATGTAACACTGCATTAAAGTAGGCAGAAGTAGAAGGGCTACTAAAGATTTGGGCCACTTGACCTAAAGCAGACTTTTTCTTCCCGTTCACTGTTGTTCCAGGTTACTGCTAATTATACTAATTTTTTTTTTGGAACCAGAACAATTTTTATTTGGCAGAGCACAAGACGTGAGTGGTGGGGGAAAGGCTAGGGGTGAATGGTAAACTACTACTTCTGTCAGCAGTTTTGTTTCGGATAGTTTATTTTCATATATCGGGGGAAGGGAATGTCTAATGGTGACCAGCAGAATAGATATCGACCAAAAAACGAAAACTACGCCACTTTTCATACACCACTCTATCGAGAATTGAATGCACCGAGTCATTCTGTTAATGACGTAAGCGCACTTCCGCTGAATCTTTTACGTTGCAGAGTTTACAAACATCACGCAGCATCACGTACACGGACAACAACTAAGCTAACTCGGACAGGACGAAAAAGACGATTTAAAAACTACACAACAAACCTCTTTATCCGATCGGCGAGGAACAACACCAATGATAACACTGCTCAAGGTGTCTTTGCGAAGAAGTCTGGAGTCAATCATTCGAAGACTGCAAAGAACATCAGACACGAATCGAAACAAATTTTCCAGAACACGAATTAAATTTCATGAACTTTGTCTTACCTGGCGTTGTCTCTCACAGCAATCCTCATAGATGAGCCCGGTAGCAGGACTTTGTCCTTGAGGATAAGCAGTGGAAGACGTTTCGGAAGATCTCGATTAGGGACCACCATGTTTTGCTGTGTTTTGCGGTGTTTTGTGACAAAGAGCTGGAAATTAGAAGTTTATCTACTCTAACCCAGTCTCCACGCTGTCATAGTGACACTAAAAGTTGTTTTACACGAAGGAAATTTCGCAAAATCAAAGATGGCTTCTTCAGGGCTTTGTCGACTGTCCTCTACAGGTAGATTTCCTATTCACACTTCATTTACATTATTGATTCTTTCCATTAAATTTTCGCTTTCGCTTGTGTTTCAGTGTTGGCAAGACCTGTAAACTGTGTTCGATACTGGAACAATGTACCAGCCCTCCAAGCTGGACAGAAAACGAGAATAAGGTGAGCTAATTTAAGTTAAATTAAGCCTACATTGTGTTGAATAAGGTTCCTTTTACTTAAACTCGAATATTGTGAATCATGCCCAACCGTCTGTTTAAGGTAAATTTTTGAGACGCAAATATAAATGTGCACACCGCTATATGCCAAAAACTCCGGTGGCATGCCACATTAAGATCTTCAGCGTAACCTACACTGAATGCACCCTGGAGGGGACCAAAAAGACTGGCTACACAGTTATCTTCAGTTGC